AGAGAGAGAGAGAGAGCTTGAGAGAGAGAGAGAGAGAGAGAGAGAGCTTGAGAGAGAGAGAGAGAGCTTGAGAGAGAGAGAGAGAGAGAGTTGAGAGAGAGAGAGAGTGAGAAAGAAGAGAGCTTGAGAGCTTGAGAGATTTGGCAGCGGGGTTGAATCCTCCAGTTTCCTGTTGTATTCTGGTGCGTGCATGTGGTGTTGGGATGCAGATGGGCAGTCGGGTAGTTTGATGGGTGCCGATGCATTGGAAGCGGGGGGAGGGGATCAGTGGACCTGCATGTAGAGGCGTCGGTGGGCTGTGAGGGAGTACACGTTGGTCTGCCATTACACTGTGCGCGTGCCCATGTGCGCTGTGTAGTCCGCCCCCCTTTTTTTCGCGTCTTCACTGGTCTTCCAACTCCCTGTGCTCGCGTCTGCGCGGGGTGTGCCCGTTGATCCTGCTGATTTGCTACGCACGTCTCATGTACCACTGTCTCCTGCGATTGCTCGGTCTGTAGGAGTCACCGCCCTCATGCCTTTTGGTCGCAAATCCAGCGCGCGTCGCAGGTGCGACAGTTTGGCTCCTCGCTCATTTGCGTTCCAGCCCTCTCGTCTGCATCGGCCCACGCTTTCAGGCCCCAAAGCTGTGCCTCTCTCCTGAACGTTGGCTCTCATGCTCTCTCGCTTTGCAAGCTCATCCCCGCATCCCCGCTTCTTGATCCTCCGGCCCGATGCCATAGTCGTCGCAATGAGGACATCACGCAGGAGCCGGATGAGGGCTGGATCCACGATGACAATGCCCTCATGCTGGGTGATGGCTTTTTCTACAGCTACCCCGTCGAGGTGAATTCTTCATCGATTCGCACACAGCTGCAAAGATCTTTCGCCCTGGGAAGCTGCCCGATTCGCGCGCTGCTTGGCAGAGTCTCACTGCCTTTTGGTGTGTGCCTGCCTGCTCCAAACTCGGGATGACCCATATTTTCCGTCTAGTTTTTGGGCAGCGTTGAGATTCCCAAGAGCATGAACGAAGTGGCCTTGGGCAGCCGCACTCAGATCGTGCGGTACGGACCATCACCAAGTTGGATCCTAGCTCGGTTCTCCAAGCTTGCTCTCACCTGCGCCCATGCTTCTGTCTCGTTCCTGGGATTCGCTTGTTCGTCGAATCAACCCACAGCTACCTCATGAATCGTCTGATGGTGGAGACCAAGCGCCTCAAAAAGGCGGGCAAGCCCCCTAAAGGGTTTGATGAGTTTGTCAACGGACCCATCACCTCGGCTGAGGTCCCCGTCAGTTTTGGCATCGCCGCCGACGGCATGGTCGTTGTTCTCAACACCCCCAACGTATGTTTGTCTTACCCCAGCCGTGTGCTTTCACCCATCATTCCCTCACTCATTTCGTCCCTACCGATCACCCCTCCCATTGCCCGGCCTCGTGCAGCAACGCCCCGACGAGCAACCCCCGGTTCGTCTCTTGTCTTTTCGCCGGCCCCCGCCTCCCTCAACTCAACAGGCCCGGGGAATTAAAAAGACATCATTTCAAGTCTTACGCTCGTGTCTCACAACCCGTCGGACCCCTTTTTTTATTCTATTGGTTGCTGCTTCCTGTTGGGCCTGCACTCGCAGCTGCTCTTTTACCACGCCATGCGGATGATCTCCATCGCCACCGGTGGCGACCAGGATACCTATGAACTTGTTTCCTATGTCGCCAAGGATGCGTCGGGCAAACGAAGTACGGGCACGGGTTGCCAGTGGACTGCATGGTTCCTCCTCGCTTCTCGACCGTTCCGAGTCTCACACCCCCTGCGCCAACACCACCTCGAATACAGGCTGCTTCATCTTCAACTGCGGTGATGACGCTGATGATGTGCTCACAACGCTCGGCCAGTCCTTCCTGTTGGCTCAAGAACTGGCTCTGAAGAAGCGCGAGCGCCCCAAAACAGACTCAGTCAAGAAGGAGTATCTCGACATGGTGCCTGAAAGCGATGAGGCTGAGGAGCATGTGTACGGCGACGCCTCAGTGGTTTGTTGCGCAACTTCCCGCCACCCTGTTCGAAGCGCTCTGCATCACACTTCTCATCTGGCTTGCTGCCTCACTTCAATCAGACGTCAGCTATGGCCAATGCTATCCAGGAGCAGCCTGCCTACGACGTGGCCACGCCGGCAATCGCGGAGCAGCCATCTTATGACGTGGCCATCGGTGCCGCACCCGTCTTGCCCGATGAGGTTGTGTACGACAACCCTCTCAGCGCAGTGCCCACCCCGGGTCGCGTCATCACCTCCCCGGTGCGTCCTTATCTTCAATGCCTATCCTGTTCAAGGAATCGTTCCTCAACTGCTCGTCGCCGTCGCGCTCTCACGACCTTGTGATGACCTTCATACAGTCGTACGAAACAGCTCGCAACGACATGCCCAGCGAACCGGTACAATCATCGCCTGTTGCTGTTGGCATACGTCCCGCTTGCCTCACACTCAAAATTCTCACGGCTGAAGGCGACCAGAAAAATAATAGATGGCCCGCAAACCTGTCGTCTCACCTATCACTGATTTTGTGCCTCACATAGTTGTATGACACGGCAACGACCAAGATTGTCAAGGCCTTGAACAAGCGTGACTCGATTCGTCGTTCCATGGTGCGTGATGGCTGTGGCTTCTCATTTGGACTTGAATGCCTGGTACCGACGACACAACTGTCATTGCCAGCTGACTCTTGTGTGATTGCACCAATTTTTTTTATTGGGTACAGCGCGCCTCCATGAAGCAATCCACGAAGCGCGAGTCGCGCAAGGTCAAGAAGAACACCCCTCCCGCAGAAGAGCTCTCAAGTATGCCCCAAGACGTGGTGCTGTTTCGAGTCGAGCAATAACGTTGGCGCTTGGCTCATACTCACATCTCCGTTGTCTCATCTCTCACAGAGGAGGAGGTGCAATTGCGCAAGGCAGAACAGGAGGAGATGGCACGCCCCTCCTGGATCTGCATTTCCGAAACAGCCAAGGAAGAGGCGTCTGGCACCGACTTGGCATCGCTTCTCTCGCAATTCAAGCAACAGGCCATCCAAGACGACTCGGATGAGGGCGAAGAGTAACCTCGGATCACATAATTCGATACTCTTCTGGTGATGAATATCCATCGCTTGAGCCAGCTGTTCGTTGCCTTGTGTTGTTTGCTTTTGCTGTCTTTTCTATCCTTTACGTTTCTTCCTTTTCTTTTGACTATTGCTTGCTTGCCTTGATCTTGACGTAATAATTGAGTCTGGTTTGTATGGAGCTTCGCCAAAACCGAACCAATGCTGAAACCGAGCCAATCATGAGAGGAAAACCTCGGTACTTCTGGATTTGCCAACTGCAAGAAAAAAAAGTCTCCCCAAGTTTGAGCCATCACCTTGACTGTCCGCACGGCGCACGTACAAGGCACTGGCCAGCAAGCTTGCTTAGAACATTCATGCACAGCAATCTTGGTAAGCCAAATCAAGCAACAAGGAAAAAGGAGAAAAAGAAGGCAGCAAAAGAAGAAAGGGAAATCAAGAATGAAGGGCGGGGTAAACAAGGGTACGGTGTCGAGCGCAGTGCGATTTCGAGTAAGCCTAATAGTCGTCGTCAAAGCCAAAGCCACCGCCACCGCCAAAGCCGCCAAAACCGCCGCCTGGAAAGCCGCCGCCGCCAAAGCCACCGCGACCACCACCAAACTGGAATCCACCGCCGCCTGACGATGCCAAAAGGGCCATTTGCAAGCAACAGAGTCTGCCATAAGAAAACCGCGTGCTTGCGCATGTATCAAAAACAACGGTAGGCGCCTCGTGCGGGCACAGACGCCAAGACACACAGAGGAGTTGAATCGTAATGCGCGGGCCCGGCAAAAACTAACCGGCGAACATTTGGGCAAACATGGCGTTGACATCGACGCCGCCACCCGGGCCGTGACCATGGCCGTTGATCTCATCTAGATCTTCGCCGTTGTCGTACCGATGCTTTTTCTGGGGGTCGCTAAGAATGGCGTACGCCTCGCCTACATGACACACGCAGCGTCGCGGTGTAAGTTGTAGTCAACAGGACAGCGGCCTGCGCGATACAAACAGCAAAAGGTGACGAGCGTCGCCACTGACCAATCTCCTTAAACTTGGCTTCAGCCTGATCCTTTTCTTCGGGTGGCACGCGATCAGGATGGCAACGCAAAGCGGCCTTTTTGTAGGCGCGCTTGATGTCGCTGTCCGAAGCATCCTGTCCATCGGGCACAGTCAAACGAGCTGTCAGCTCGGCCGCTCAACAAATATGTAGTAGGAGCAAGAAAAGAAAAGAAAAGATATAATAAAAAAAAAAAAAAAAAAAAAAAAAAAAAAAGAAGCGAGCCGAGGCATTGAGGGTGGAAGGGCAAACGAGACCTTGGCGACGCTCAAGAGTTTGTAATAATCTTTGCGCTTGGACTTTTTCAGTTCAAGCTTGGCATGACGCAACGAGGAGCGATATTCTACCCCAAGAAACACAAAAGATGGTAAGAATTGGGAGATTCAACGTCTGGACCACAGGTTTTTGCAGTCTCAGAAGCAATTGAGAATTTCATACGGATGAGTCGGGTGGCTGGAGCCAACGCCTCTCTCCTTTTTTTTTCATTCTATCTGACTACTGAGGTTTGCGAGGAGCTGGGCGGGTCCCTACCGTTGTTGCCAGGCTCGGCCTCAACAGCAGCCTGGTAATCCTCGACGGCTTCTTCAAACTGTTCGTTCTTGAGACGGAGTTCACCACGCTTCAGAAGGGCCTTGATGTATTGATCATCACACTCCAGAGCACGTGTACAACAGTCGATGGCTTCCGGTACTCGGTCCATCTACACCAGAATTCCAATGATCATGACGGTGATGCATGATGGTTGTGATGGTTGGATAGAACGCACGCGAGGGGAGTGGATGAAAATGCGGGTGCCGTTAAAAGAACCAGCAGGCAGGTGCACAAAGAAGCAAGCGCGCACCTTGCTGAGTACTACGGCGCAGTTGAAATGGAGTTTGGCAGTGAAGACATTATCGCTATCATCCATGGATAGTGCTTCCTGGTAACAACCCAAAGCTTCCTCTAGACGACCAGCCTTGAAGGCTTCAGTACCACGCTCCTTGGCATTAACGATGCCCTTGACGCTCTGCAAGAAGGGCAGGGGAGACGCACGATGATGTGAGCGCAAGACTACGTGTCATTGCGCCCGTTCTCGAAAAAGGGGCCGCTTCACGCGTCAACGAGGCAGATGAAAACAGAGGGTCAAGCCGGACTTTGAGCGAAATGCGAGCGCGTTGGTGATCGGGGTTGGATTGCAGGGCGCGTTTGAAGTGCGCCAAGGCTTGTTCAAGCTCTCCCTGCGAATGAGCGTCAGCAACAGTCAGAGAAGAGGAAGAGGCAACGTGCACCGGCAGGACAATATGACACATTGGGGTGGGTTGTGTGGGTCAAGGGCTTACGCGGTCGATAAGACACAGGCCGCGCACGTAGAGAGCCTCGGCATGCATGCCATCCTCACGAAGCACGTTGCTGCAAGGGAGGGCAAAGAGACGGAGAAGAGGCAGGCATGAGTCGCGAAAGAGGGCAGGTGGAGGTCAAATGTGAGGAAAAACGAATGGTGAACAAAAGGGGGTGGCACGACGGCCATTGGGCTTACGAAGCAAGGCGCTCGGCTTCACCACTGCGTCCAGCAAGCCGCATGTACTCGGCTTGCTTGAGCTTGAGCTGGGCAGCTTGTGGGGCCAGTTCCAGGGCGCGTTCCTATGGTCGTCATGCCCACAGGAGTCTTGGAATGAGGGTGGGTTTGCACTTGGACTCTTGGCAAAAATCAAGAGTCAAAAAAAGGAGAGAGTGAGAGAGGATGCACGCACCATGAGGGAGATGCAGTTGTTGTAAAGTTTGTTTTGGGCGGCATCCTCGGCTTGCTGCAAGTACATGTCAATCTTGGTCATGTTGCTCATCTGTGGGCGAAGAGAAGGGCATGGGGGCGAATTGAGGCACATGATGAGGTTGGGAAGTTGACCTCGCGGATTGGGGTGGGTGCACGGTATTTGTTGCATCAACCCACCTCTTGTTGCGCAGCGCTGCTGTTGGGATCAAGGGCCAGAGCTTGTTCCACGGCGCGCTTGGCGTCGGAGAAGCGACCCAGACCAGCATATGCGCGAGCGGCACGAAGGTGGTACTAAGCGAATGTGATCATGCCCCCGGTGGTGCGGGCAGATTTGAGTTGCGTGGGTGAGGAATACGAGGATGTCCATTGGACAAGCGCCTGGGGCGTAACACACAGCAGGGGACTAGGGGATGGCCGGCGGAAGGTCAAGCAGAAGAGGCGGACCTTGACGGTTTGAGGTTCACGAGAAATGGCTTCTTGGGCATCTTTGAGGGCATCGTTGAATTTGAGAAGCATGATGTAGGCGGCGGCGCGGTTGTTAAAGTAAGGAGCAGCGGGGAAATGGCCTAAATCACCGACATTGATCCAAGGGTTGCAAAGGAAAAGCGGGCCAGGAAGACGAAGCCAGTGTGAGCGAGGGATCCAAGTCAGGGCACAAGAGCCTTCAGGGCACGGAATGGGATGGACGGGAGTGGTTTTGGTAGTTTAGAAACGCACCAATGGCCCGGGAGTAGGCTTCGATGGCATCACGATATTTGCCAGCCTTGTAGAAGGAGTTGCCTTCTTCCTTGGCCTGCAGGGCCAGGCTGGCCAAGCGCGGCCGCGGTCAACGATGCGCGAGTGAGGTGGGGGGCAGCGGAGGAAGGGAGAGAAAAGCGGAGGCACATATTGCGCGGGCCGTTAAGCAAGGGGCGGGACAGACCGTTCAGGGTCGGCCTGAGCACTCGTTTCGGCCGCCATGATGCTGGAGAAGAAGGGAGGAGGGAGGTTGTCTGTCAAGTCAACAAGCGGGCGAGAAGGCAGTGTGCGCACACTGCACCCAGTCACACCTATCCAAGCGCCGCCGCACCCGCATCGGACACGGACACGGACACGGACAAGGGTGAGCCAGTTGACCAACGTCATGTGAGGTGGCATGGATATATGTAACGCAATAATCCGAACAACACCTCCCGGCGCACCAATCCAGACCGAGAGCAGTGAGAGCGAGAGCAGGAAGAGCGAGCACAGAGAGGGAGAGAGAGAGAGAGGCAGAGCGAGAAGGGCACACACACACACACACACGCGAGCGCACACACGGCCGGCGGGACGGTACGCAGCACGCCGAGTACGCCAAAGCCGTTCAGGGATACGGGCACATGATCATGCTCACAAGAAGAAGAAGAAGAAGGAAAGGAAAGGAAGGTTAAAGAATGAGATGTAGAGCAGAGAGGGGAGGCAGTGGGAAGAGGGGGGGAGAGGGGAGAGGGGGGCGGAGAGGGAGAGCAGAGAGGGGGAGAGTTGTGAGAGGGTTGTGAGAGGGAAAGGGAAGGCAAAGTCAGAGGGACGAGCGTTAGACGGACGAACGTTAGAGAATTGAACGGCAAAGAGACCAAAGTCAGAGAGGGAGGATCGAGAACAAAAGGAAGCAAACATGTGTGTGTTGAAAAGGGCGCATATTAGTCTGACATTCACCTTGTTGTCAGATAAAATGGTCGGGCTGAAGAAAAATGCGAATCAAGTTGAAGCAGACTTTTAAGCTTGAGTTCTATTCATAAAAAACATCATTCAATCTGACGTTTTGAGCGTGCTTGCATGTACGCATGGATGTGGTGACGCCCAAACCCTCGAGACACCTCACACCCACCACCTCTTGTTGTTGTTGCGCCGAGCAAACAGAGCAACATTTGTTGGGATCCTGCGACGAGCGATCTAAATAACATCAAAAAGAAACCAACAAGAACTACAACAACGACGGCAACGGCAACAACGACTACCGCAGCGACACACCGGGCCGCCACCAATCCGAGTTGGCGGTGCTGCCTGGTTTGAGCCATATCAGCACACTCTGTTTCTGCTGCGGGTGGTGGTCTGGTTCGCCATGAACCCCACCTCAGCCTGGAAACGGTGTGTGGCGGCGGCCATCGTCGTCGCCTGGGTCGTGACCGGCGCCGCCGCTGATTGCTGCGATAGCAACAGCCTCGTTTGGACCATCAACAATGCCGCCGATGCTGAAACCTGGCCAGCTGGCACCACCAAAACCCTTGCCGACATCAACATATACTGCACCAACGGTATGCACGCTCACCCCTTTAAATCGTACCCAGTCTCTTGACGCTTGAGCACAAACAGGTGTCAATCACCCCGCCTCACGTCCGAGCGAGACACCCGACCCCGGACACCCTTCCGGTCATGACTTGCTCCTTCCTCTTGCCTCCTTCTCCCGTTTATACCATGCTTATCCGCTTATCCTTATTTCTTGACGGCCCAAGAGATTTTATCAGCTCACGTACGTCCCACCATGCCCTGTGTGTTCGCCTATCGCAGCCGGGGAGCCGCTGACCAGCTTGGCGTTTATGGCCGGGCTCGAAGCCATCCAAGGATACCTCTCCATTCAAAACTGCGCCAACCTCACCAGCCTGACCGGGCTCGAAAGTTTACGAGTCATTGGTGGCTCAGCCTCGCGTGGACTCGTCATTGAAAACAACGACCAACTCACCGATCTCAAGGCCCTCGAACAGCTGGAGGCGATCGAGGACGGCGGCGCCACCGTGCGATTCAACGCCGAACTTTGTTACATTTATCTCTTTGATTGGGCCCGTGTCGTGCCTGCCACCGACACCATCACCGTTGAATACGAGCCCCTGCGGTGCCTCACCGACACGTATTGCGATGCCTCTTGCCACTGCGGCTACTGTGCCGGTCCTGGTACCTGCCCGGCCCAGGGAGGATGCGAGGAGGATCTGCGCTGGGTCGCCATTCCCGTCGTTCTGCTCTTCCTCCTCTTCCTCGGCCTTGGGCTTTGCATCGCCTACAGCTGCAAGCGAGGCTACTGCACCTGTCAATGCCACGCCAGCCTGCGCCGGTCCCTGCGCATCAGCCCCCAAACGTCCATGGCGTTTCCCGAAAAACCCGCTGCCCCTTCCGCCGCCCCGGGTGGCGGCGTCGTGCCCGTCATGGCCGGAAGCCCACGAGCCAGCGGCCCTGATGGCAACGCGCCCGTGTCCAACCCCGGCTATGTGTCTGTTCGCCCCTCCGTCTCTAGCCTAGCAGGCAGCCCCCTGTATCTGCCACCCTCCCAACAGCCAACCTTCCAGGCCACATCCCCTCAACCAGCCAGTGCTGCCCCCAACTACACCAACAACTCTGCGGTACAGATCAATCCGGCATCAGCTGCTGGCCCCGTACCCGTGATTCCAGCCAACTCTGAGAGCAACAATGCCACTGGCGCTTCCGTCTCACCCGTCCCCGGTGTGGCCCCGGTCCGGTGGCAATCCCCACAAAGCTCGCTGAGTGTTCGGCGAGCTGGGGGCACTCCACCCTCGGTCATGCATCTTCCACGCCTGCGTGGAACCCCTGCACAAAATCGCGTCGGACTTGCGCCCGCACCTGCGGCTGAGCCGCAGACCGTAACGCAGCCCAATGCTTCAGAGCAGGCCTAGAACCGACTGCTTTCTTCCTCGTTCTTTCAACAGCTCACCTCCTCCTGTCTTTGTCGAGACTTGCCCTCTGTTCTTTTTTTTTTTTTTTCTTCATCTTCTGACTTCAATTGACTTTACATCGTCATCAGACCTTTTTGGGTATCGCGCCTCAAATAAAAAACGCGAAAAAAAAAAGGTGCAGGGGGGAGTGACAGCTGCTTGCAATCGAGGCGGCTTTGAGACGTGACGCTCGGATTCGAACCAAGATAGACCATGAGAAGACGTTGCAATCGGACCACCAGCCAGAACGGCGGGGGTCGAGTTGGTGCAACGCCTACGTCCCGTTCAAAGCCGCAGACTCGAGTCCCGTGATGGACTGTGCTGCACTCTCTACCATGATGACCAGATTGCGGCAGACTCTTCCACTCAAACCACTCCACCACGCCTTTTGAGGCAAGGGAATCGTTGTTGGTCTTTCCCACCGGCCCGGGCTTCACCCCTCGTGAGGCAGTTTAATCCTGCATATAAACCAGCCAGCCCATACAGGGGACGAAAGCAGTCCAATGTTGGCTCTTGTCTGTCCCGCCTACTTTGGCCCGACACGTTGCCAGCAAGTGACATTCTCGACACCTGGCTTTGACGACTTTTGTACCCTGCTCCCAAGTGTCTTCACTCACCCGCGCCCCACTGCACCGCACACAGCGTCAGCTCATCAACCACACACACACACACAGACACACACACAAGCGATGCCATATCTGCCATCCACAACCCCCATCCCAAAAGAAGAACGCCATTGTCAGACGAAATGAATGTCAGCATTTACATGTGGTATGCAGCGTACTGGCATGGCTACCATCTGTCAGCGACTCTCTCTCTTTTTTTTTGCGGAGAATTTGTGGCGCGCGCACAGCGGGCGAGGGGTGTAGCCATGGCCATCAAGTTCTTCTTGATGGTGAATCGCCAGGGTCAGACCCGTGTGGCGCAGTACTATACATACACGGACGTGGCCACGCGTGCTGCTGATGAGGCGGAGATTATCCGAAAGTGTCTGGCTCGGACGGAGAAGCAGGTATGGACCTACCTCGTTCCTCACATCACCTTCATACCCGGATGACCTGCTCCTACGCCACCTTTGCGCCACGCCAGACTCGATCTCACGGAGTTGTCTTGACTTGTGGTCTTGATCTGTCGTGTCCTGGCATTGTGGCGCGTGTAGTGCTCCTTTATTGAGTATCGTACCTTCAAGCTTGTCTTCCGGCGTTATGCCTCGCTCTACTTTATCATTGGCTGCGATGAACACGAGGTATGCGTCCCACTTGCTGCACGCCGCCGTCGCCCGTGCGCCTTGTGCCCAGTGCTTCTAGCGAGCCGTCCCTCTGATCATGTGGCCATTGTTCGGAACATTTATCCAGAATGAGCTAGCCATCCTCGAATTCATTCACATGGCCGTCGAGACACTGGATCAGTACTTTGATGGCGTTAGCGAACTGGACGTACGTCTCTCTCTCCTTATCTTTCCTCTTCAGGATCAGACTCTGAGCATTGATCAAACAAGCCCTCTTTTTTCTTGTGTCTTCCCCAACATCCTCAAGTCTTGCCTCGAGTCTTCCTCTGACACCTCTTTGAACGGCTGATTTCATCTTCTCACTCATCTTGCACACTTTTGCAGATCATGTTCAACATTGAAAAGGCGCACTTCATTCTTGACGAGATGCTGAGCAACGGAGAGATTGTGGAGACCAACAAAACGCGCATCCTCGCCCCTGTTCGCGTGATTGACCGCTCTGACAAGCTCTCCTCCTGAGTTGAGCCTTGAGGCTGCATTGCCCGGCACGCTTGGTCTCCAAGCATATTGCATCGTGGCTTGCCCCTTTCGTCGTTTTTTCCCTACTCCTCTTGCTTTCCTCCACTCCTCTTCCATTGCCTTTTGTTTCGCGACGCCCATGTTCTCTTTGGCAGTGTCAATTGTTGACGTTCTTATGTTTCATGTTTGTGGCGCGCGCATGCGACTGGGTCGCACCCCCCTTCTTTTGCTCTCTTACCTGTATGGTCTTGAGCGTATTACAGGTGCTGGACCACGCGAGTGGATGATGGCACCCAACCTGCTGTGGCCTTGTTGGTCTGAGGCCACTTTGCATTCTGCAAATCGATGAATATTGTTGATGATATGCTCGCTACCATGTGATGAATATCGTTGAGGATACGCTCGCAGCCATGTGTTGAATATCGTAGATGATACGCTCGCAGCCATGCGATGAATGTCGTTGATGAGACACTTGCTACCATGTCAAGAGAGGAATCAGGTCCGCCTCGATTCAAGCGCGCTGCTGGAGCTCCACTGGAGGTTATATCAATTGGTAAACATGGTGCCATCATGCGGATAGCCTCTTCACCGTTGTCGATACATTCCCCGGTCGTGTCGGCTCGAGGGGGACCACAGCCTCATATCAGCGAGTGACATGGCTCAGATTGAGAGTCAAACGTGATTAGCGACGCTTACCGAAGCAAGGCGTCTGGATAAATAGTCAACAAGCCTCCGTTAGGGAGAATGCTCAAACCAGCTGTCTAAACACCATGCAACACGCCCCCCAGCAGCACAGCAGCATCAAGATCATGCCACTGATGGCCATTCATCGAGCCATCTGACCCACCCACTTGATCCACATTCCTGCGAACCCTCATCGGCTCTTCTCTCACCCCACCCAACGCCACCTCCCAACAAGACACATGATTCCTGCAAATCAACATCGTGAAATGCTTGCTTGTGTGCAAAAAACTCAAAAAGACTCAAAAAATAAAAAATAAAAACAAGATGATCGATGTGTGTGCGCGCACACACACACACGCACATACAGGCACAGCACGCACACAACGCATTTGCGCCAAGGGAGTGGTCGGGACTTGGGACAGCTGGGGGTTGAGACAGAAATGGAGGAGCAACGAGGTACGACAGATCTCTTGCTGGGTTTGGTCGTTGGGTTTCTTGTTGCCGTCTTGGGCCGTTGCTCATGTCCCCGTGGGCGTGCGCTCGCAGTGCTTGGCGAGTTGGCGGCACAGACGCTGGCAGTTGAGGCCGAGCTGGCGCGCCAAATGATTGGCATGACCGATCGCCTTGTCGGACTTGAGCAGCGGGTGCGTCAGAGTTACTTTTTTCCCGATTACGCCCGCGATGGGCTCACGGTTGTGAACACCCATGTAGGCCACCGCCATGACTGAGGGACTCGAGGAGGTTCGCATCGTTGTGCAGGCCCTGCTTATGGACGGTGGACGCCAGGCCTTGGCTCAACAGCTAGCGCATGTCGATGACAATAGCCTGTGAATGAAGAGTTCCCCATGGTTGAAATCTCAAGCAAGGCTCGAGGCCCGCGCCACCATCCTCAGTCTCTTCGAGTGTGGTCACACCTGCGCCTGTATCGCATTGCCAGTTCCGTCCGTTTCCGTTCCCGTTCCATTGTATCCGAATCAATCGATGAATAGTGTTATTCACGTGTAAAGTTGCACAAGCCTTGAACAAGGCTGGCTCTCCCATGCCGTTATGAACAGTCTGCGCACGGCGCAACAACATGCTGCTGGGACTTGACAAGGGTCCCAAGTATGATTGTGCAAGCGGGGTGCCTGCCAGCGTGGCTACGGTGTAGCGTGTGTCTGACGTTTAGTCATCTTTGCGCGCCGCAGCCGTCGCAGAAGTGCTGTAGGCGACCCGATCGCCGTGGGATTCGTCGCCGGCCAACAGGAATGCATCCAGCGTTTGGTTGGCCTCGGCCATGCCCTAATGGACCAGGGGTATGAGGCATATGGGCATTGTGAGCCGGCAGGAATGCTTGCCTTGGGCCCCCCTGCGTCTTGATACTACGGGTCGACTGACCTGGACGCGATTGGGCGCGTCGTTTGACGAAAATGGTTGAGGAGTACCTGCACCAGATGGACGCCAGGCCCGCATGAGAGGGCATGGCATCCCATTTGCAACAGTTTTGTTGGTCAAGCGGTCGCCTGCGCCAATATCAAAAACTGCAGTCGACGTACCAGCTCTTAGGAGCTCATGACGATGGAGCAGGGTTGTATAGCAATCAATGGCTCCGCCATCGGGAAAGCTCACGCGGAGCTGAACATGTGCACCTAATTATTATCACGTCCCAGAACACGTTGCAAACTCATGACGGCCGTCTCGCTTCAAAGGCCTTCACTGAAGCAATGCCCTTGATGCAAAGTCCCTGGACCAACCGTCGTCTGTCGGGAGCACAAACTCGACGGCGTTGGCCCCAAAGAGCGGCTGGTCGAGCACCAAGCCCTCCAGCACCGCAATGGACCCGCTCAGCCGGGGTGCATCGGCTGCATCCGGCGCCAGTACCACCTGTACGACGTTCAGCAGTTTGGTCAGTCAGAGCCCGACCAGCACAGGTGTTGTTGGGCGGGCAGGAGGGCCATGCCGGTGCTGAGCCCAGTTTCACGCACCTGCTCAGCGGTAATGTGGAGCGTGCCGTTTATTGACGGACTGCTGGGCCCGGCGTTGGTCAAGCCCGCCGTGATCCACGCCCACCACCCCGTCTCTGCTTCTGCTGCACCCCCACCGCCCAAGCGCTGCCAGCTCACGTTTGCAAAGCTTCGCGCCGCCATTTTTCTCTCATTCAGCCCCAACAAGAAAGCACTGATCAGTTTTTTTTTTTTTTTTTTTTTTTTTTTTTTTGAAAAAAAGTGTGAGAGAGAGAAAATCAGAAAAAAAAAAAATCAAATAAGAGAAAGGAGAGGGTCTATAGAAAAAGATCAAAGCATCGCGGAAGACCCTCAGCTTTTGAACTCGGGGCAGAGGCATTGGGGTGGGAGCGGGCTTGTGCAGCATTCCCGGGTTGCCCAACCGTTTGCACTGATCAATCTTTCTCTTTGTTGCGGCCAGAAGGATCGCAAATCGACTGTGCACTCTCAATTTGTGGCAGCTCAAGGTACCCAGGGACGATCAAGTCAGTGTTGCCGTCTTTCATCACGCCGCCGATAAACTCATTCATCCTCGTCGTCATCATCAATGTCAATCGCATCGGCATTGGCCTGCATGGCGCTGACATTGTGCGGCGTGGCCCGAGCTGGCATGGCAGCTGCGGCAGCGTTGGGCACGACTCCGTCAGCGGCAGCGGGATCGGGCAAGGGCACGGTGGATCGGGGCAATGTACCGGTGTCATCCTCATCCTCATCATCGTCCAGGTCAATGGCGTCAGGGTTACTGCTACCCGGGCCTGGGCCCACCGAGAATCCCATGTTAGGTCGCTGACCGGGCAGGGACATTGGCATCTGACCAGGCCGTTGCAGCATGCCAGACATGGGCATTTCCCCCTGCCCGGGCATGGGCATGGGCATCTGCATTGGCATCTGGCCAGGCATGGGCATTTGCATCCGACCAGGCACGGAACCATGCACGGGTTGTGGCAGGTTCAGACCCCCTCGGCGCCCACCACCACGTTTGAACGCTATAAAAAGCAACGGTTGCATGAGCCAGCGGCGCGGCAATGCCAAAAGTTTGTCATTCATGCATTTGCAGCGAATCATCTGTGGGGCAGCGCCCAAACGCCGTCAATAAGCGCATGTTATGCACGTACCATCAACGGCCTCGGCACAAGGATTGGACATTTCCAGAAGTTCGCAGAGCCGCGTCGTGTAGGGATTCAAGCGTGGCTGAGCCGCTACCGTGTTGAGGTGAAATGAGCTCTCTGTCCCGACGTTGGCACCGAGCGCAGGCTGCTGACAAAGCGTTGTCGCACAATCATGCTTGCATCCTTACCATCATCATCTGGATGGGCGGCCACGCCGTGGTCACAGCCCTCATAGTCGTAGGGTGATCCTGGTGCCGACTGTCAAAAGAATCAGGCGGGCCGTGAGGTCAGCGACACCTTTGCCGTCGCCGAGGTTCAGCAAACCGTGTTCAACAGGCTGTGCAGAGCGCACGCACCGCCAGTTGCTGTTGCGTGGCCGCTACTTCCTCAGCAGTGGGCCGATAATCGAATCTGTTCTCTCAAAGCAAGCATAGTAGGCCACCACACGCGATGGTGAGGGGAGCAACACCTGAGGCTGAGTGGCTCGCTCGCACGGTCGTCAAGTGGGCACTGGAGAACGAACAACGCACCGCTCTGGGCCGCCTGGCATGGGCATTGTGGTATTCGTGCGCTGTCCATTACGCAGAGGACTCGTGGTCCTACGGAGGATGCGTCGTGGGTTGGGGGCGAGCGAATAATCAGACGATGTGGATTTGGCATGGGTTACGCAGTCCAGCGAGCCCGTTCCTCAGTCCAGTCACGTACCGGAGGATGGTCAACCACTCGGCATCGGGCGATATCGTGACAGGTGAGCCCGCGGCTACCGGCGCTCCACATTCAAAAACCTAGTCAAAGCAGCATTGCAGGTCCAAGGTCAACCACGAGCCTGTGTGTGTGGAAAGGCGAGGCGCACACCATTTGAGGCCAGTAATAAGGCACCTGAAGGAAATGCCGGCGGGGGAGACATTTGTCTAGGGCCAGAAATCGCGTTGCTGCGGGCATGTCGGCGTGCTGCGCTGTGCTCGGGTCGTGACGGATGACCGCAGCAAACTAGACATTAACCCGGACGGGTAAGGCACAGGGATGATGTCCAGCCGAAGGAAGACGATGCATGCTCGCGGAACGGCGGGACAATCCCTGGCCCATGTCGATAATGTACCTTGACATGCAAATGCGCAGAGAACCAGTAGCCCGGTCGAAGATGTTGCAGCAGAGCCGCACTGGCGGGGCTACCTGGCCAAAAGTAAAATGAAGCGCGCGGTCAGCGAGGGTACCGACTGTCATCAGGTGGCCAAGCCACGGGGCAAAAACGGCCGAGGCGCTGGGGTGCGAGGACTGACCGAGAGAGTTGTTGGCAACTTCATCTCGGAAATGCGCCTTGCGACTATCATTAATGGCATGGCATGGAGCACGAGGAATGTTGGAAAAGACGGGTTTGAAGCGCGAGTGCTGGTTTATCGAACACGCACCGCAAGAGCTCGGCCGTGTTGCCATAGTGTGCAATGCCTTGTGGCCAGTCGTGGGACAAGAAAATATCAGTCGGAGTCGTCAGCTGGCTCAGTTGGAAGATCTATGATATTGGGTTGGGGGAGCAGGTGAGCTATGTCCTCAAAGCTGAGGCATAGGGCCAGGGCCACAAAGTAGCCGAGAGGGAGAGAGCGCAAGGTCAAGTCCGTAAGTGACTTGAACTGGTCGGAACTGACATCAAATTCGCGGACATGATAAATGCTGCGCTTGGCATCTTCCGAAAAGGGGGGTGTTTCATACAAGCCTGGAATGCGATGTGAGCGAGAGGTTGCTGAACAGCCATGGAAAAAAAAAAAGTTCGAGCCCATGCACGGTTCTGGGTACAGGGACCGCGCCTGGCCTTAACAAGTCGAACCTAGCTGGTAGTGACGGTCGTTGTAGATGCCCGAGAGGCCAGCGATGCGCACGCCATTGACGTTGATGACGCCGGTGCGGCCCAGGTAGAAGATGTTGGGCGCCACCCTGGCCCAGCAGGTTCAGGGTATGGGAGGGAGGAGGGGAGAGAGGGTGAGCGGGACGACGGAGAAGTTGGAGCTTGTCTGCCTGCCCTTGCAGGGTCGAGCGGAGAGGGGCATAAGACAGCAAAGGGCTCGAGGCTGTACCATCCACCGAAAGGGAGCTCCCAGAGGTAGGAGCTTGCTTCATGGTTGCCGCCGATGAAAATGGTGAGCACGGGCGCTTTCTGCCAGACCAGGCAAGCATGTGTGAGCATACCGATGCAGCGAATACACGGCACCAAGAGCGCTGTACAACACAAGAGGGAGGGCGATACTCACGGCCTCGCCCTTGAAATACTTGTAGAAATCGTGCATCTCGCGATACTTGGGAGGACAGGCCATGGTCTCGAGATCGCTTTTGTTGCGGGTGCACTGCATGTGTCAATGGCGGACCAGGGACGAGACATTAGCTTTCTGTTGCTGGTGGAAGCGGTACTGTCACTGTCGGGATGGCTGTCATCAGCCAAAGACGAGGCCGTACCTGAAAGTCACCGCAGATGAGCAGGAGGTCAACCTTGAAGTTTTGCGCTTCCTCAATCTGCTTGAGGCTGGCATAGATCTGGTCCAGCTCGCCATGGCAGCATCCTTCCACGGCCACCTACCACGTCAACAGCGCAATAAGGTGGACATGATCCAAGCCCGTCCCAGGACGCTCCCTCCCTCCCGACAACGCTGCGGCCGTCCATCCATCGTCATGGCTCTCACCCTCATGGCGTCCGGTCGTTTCAAAAAAAAAAAAAAAAACGAGAGAGAGAGAGAGCGTGATGAATCTCTTTATGAAAGTTTCATGTATTCACGTTTCTCTGGTTTTGGACTACATCTTGCTCATTTCTCTGATTTTGGTTCAATTTCCTTGCTAATCGTATTCTTTATTCTCATTTCCCTCTTAAGTTTTGTCTGGACGCCCGTTTCTCTCTGCGCTTTGCATACGATTTTCTCTCCTCTCTGCCACAAAAGCAGCTTTTGGGTTATTTTCCATCTCTCGCTCACACACACACACACACACACACACACACACACACACACACACACACACACACACACGCACGCGCAGAGCAGTCGGCCGGCAGTGGTCCAGTGGGTGCCGTTGGACGCCTTGAATGCGCGGAACGCATTGACGTTTTCTATTTCCATCTTTGGAAGCCAGCTGGTGGCGTATCGCCTGGGTTGACAAGACTCGAGATAAGAAACACCGATAATGGCGAGTGTTGGTGGCCGTGTGGGTGCCGTGGCCCGGCGTGCGGTCATGTTGAGCCGGACGGCGATGCGACGCAGTGCCCTGACACAGAGGACACTGGTATCCATGCCAGCCAGGCGCCCTGTGCTGCGTCTCCAGCAAGTTCTTCCGGCCAGCTTGCGGTGAGTCCAAGCGGCACAAATCAGGAAGGCACCTATGGCAATGTTGCAGCTGACCCCAGTTTTGTGTGGTGCCTGGACGACCGCCCCTCTCTTGCGCAGCACTTTCAAGACTCTGAATGATTATCATCGCTGCGCAGACGAGTCGTTGGAGACCATGTCAGCGGAGTTTGAGGAAATTTTTGACACTTACGACCAGTGTCGGGACTTTGACGTTGCGCTGGCGGTACGACCAGAATGATTGCGTTCACGTTGCTCATCTTACTCCTCCTCCTCCTCGTCGTCGTCCTTCTCGGTGTTCACTTGCATCGATCCTTTTGATGAGCTGCTGCTGCTGCTTTTGAAATCTTGCCAATGACTGCGCGTGATGGCATTGGGCTTGGTGCTGAATTGCTTGCCATGGGATAGAATGGCGTCTTGACGGTCGACATGGCCGACCTTGGAACCTATGTCATCAACAAACAAACCCCCAACCAAGAGATCTGGTTCTCCTCACCACTCAGGTCAGTCGCCTTGTGTCAGTGTGCTCACTTCTGCGCACGACAACGAGTACCTGACACGCACCCGCTCGGCCTCACGCAGTGGTCCCAAACGCTTCAAGTACGACGAAGATCTGCACGAATGGGTGAGCTCTCTTTCTTGACCCGCCCCTGTGGAGCGATTGCCTCGAGCCGTGCCCCCCCCCCCCCCCCACCACCACTTTGCGGCAGCCCAGCGCCCCTCTCTCATCACCCGGCTCTCGTCATGCTGGACAGCGGAGCCCCACAGAGACATACCCCTTGCACGAACTTTTGCGCCGGGAGATTTCCGAACTGCTTCAAACACCCGTCGACTTTATCAAGCCCTCGCCCGAGTGGTATTAGTTGCCCCACGTAGCCTGGACCCGCCTCAAACCCAGTCTTCTTCTCTTGGACCAGCTGCGGCTGAACGGTGCCGTGCACCTCCAGGTCGTTGAATGGTGCGATGGCAACATATCGTTGCTATAATAAAGTGGCAGCGCCTGTGTCGCAAGTATAAACACGATTACCAGTGAACGAGCTCGTTCAGCACACGCCCCAAGAAGCTTTCTATCAGCCAGCCGTGGTTTCAATGGCACTGCTGGAGAGATGCGACCCCTGCCTCGCGGTTTCTTAGGAGTTCGCAGGGACTCGTGGACTTCGGAAATCAAACAAACTCTAATGGTATCTTGGCGCTTCTGTTGAACACTCTTCATTGTCCTGACCCCATTGTTGCATTTGACACCAAATCTTCTCCGTCGAGTGGAATGCATTGTGCTTTGATGTACCTTGATGTTCACAGTACTGAAGTTGCAATGGGACGAGTACAGGTCAAGATATCAATTGGGCTAGCACATCAATCCACGCAACGCGGTGTGACAGAATAAAATTAGATTTCAATCATCAAATGTCAACAAGGGGCAGAAGGCTAGGGCTGGGGAGGCTCAGGGACACTTACAGGGGGTTTCGGCTGTGTGTGGGGGATGAGCCGTCGGGAGCAGCGGCGCCTGTGTTTGAACTTCAGAGTCGCCTCTTGATCAGGCGTCGCTGCTGAAATAGTGCTCTGCTCTGGCATACTCAGATGCGGGCGTTGCGCCGGCGGTACAGCCACCGCAGGAGCGCTTGCTCTGCGTGCAGAGTTCAAGATCAAAACCGAAATTGATCCTTGGAGGCACGGAGAGTTGGTGATCGTGTTTACCAATGGCGCAGGCGATTGTACCACTTGGTGCATCGATACCGGCTCGGATGGACCAGGTGATGATGCTTGAACTTGATATGCAGATTCCTATCGGTCATAATGGCACAATTTGTAACAAACCCCAGCAACCTCAACCCCAACCCCAATCCCAACAACACACAGAGACACAGAGACACCGAGACACAGAGGCAGAGACAGAGACAGAGACAGAGACAGAGACAGAGACAGACAGAGACAGAGACAGACACACAGACACAGACACAGACACAGACACAGACACAGACAGAGACAGAGACAGACACAGACACAGACACAGACAGAGACAGAGACAGACAGAGACAGACACAGACACAGACAGAGACAGAGACAGAGACAGAGACAGAGACAGAGACAGAGACAGAGACAGAGACAGAGACAGAGACAGAGACAGAGACAGAGACAGAGACACACAGACACAGACACAAAAAAGCAAACCCGTAATCGTCAGTGGACAGCTGTTTTGACTTGCACGGACTTGTGGGCGTGGCAGAGGTTAGCGAGACAGTACATACCTTGCCAGGGGTGAGTGGTGAGTCAAACAGGTAATTCGCAAGCAGCCTGGGATGTTGGTCAGTCCGGCGGCTAGCACGGCCACGAGCATGGCGGTGACGCTTTGGTTGCTACCGCCGACGGACAGCCTTGTGGTGCGTGATCGAAGTTGACAAGGACATGTTAACGCCTTGTGAGTTGCGGTCAACGGCGTTGGCATTGTCGTCGGCGTTGTCGTCAGCGTTGTCGTCCTCGTTGTCAAAACGCCCGCCATGCTCGCTGTCGGTGCCATCCGCAGTGTTGGCGCGGTCGCAAGTAAGGTCATCTTCACGCAAACCCTCGTGGTCCCGATAAGCACGGGCGCGTGCAACGATGCCTGCCACTCGGTGAAACAAACGATCTGGGATTGTCACGCCAATCATGATCCTCTCGGGCGGGAACACAGCCCGGAATGATGCTCCAGCACATGCGCTTGATCGAGTTCATTGTTGACGTTCTTCTGGCAGACGCCACAATGCGCTCTCTTAGCACAGCTCATCGTGCCAGCCTGTAAATTATCAAGTGAAGAGATACGAGGGAGAGAATAGACAGCGCGAAGAGAGAGAGGAACGTACTGTCTGCTCGAGAATAAGCAGGCCAGCAGCGGCAGGTCAGCGGCGACAGGTCCAAGTAGCAAGGAGGGTGACGGTTTGAAAAAAAAAAAAATGAATTCGGTTGGGAGAATTTGGAAACCAAGGAAAAGTATTTTACTACTTCTCTCAACAAATAACACAGTCTTGGTAAACATAATCTTGCACATGTTTACACGACAAAGTGAACAGCCCTCGTGCTACATGTACCAAAGAAGTGGACGGTATTCTCCACTGGACCGCGCGTCTCGTGCCAATCGGCAGCGAGGCGGCGGAGTGACAACTGATCGTGGTCAGTGTTCATTGAGGGTGAGGCGCACGACAAGGAGATCATACGGTTATTTTGCGCGATGGCGGCGCGATCGTCTGCCGGGGCTCGCGCACAGCACAAACAGCAGCGCCAAGAAGCTGGTGAGTGACGAACGGCTGCTGGCATGCATGTTACAAGCGCCGGCCGCGCTCAATCTTTTTTTTTTGTCGCAGAAACGGAGCTCACAGACGAAGTGCTGGCGCAAGTGGCCGAAAATCTTCTTGAGACATGTCGCCAGGACCTCGGGGCGGACCAGGCGTTCAAAAAGCTCAGGGTCGCCAAACACGCCCACAACCTTGTGGATGACGTGCTGAAAAAGACTGGCGCCCAGGCTGCCTGGGGCGCTCTTCAGTCGGCCGCCAAATGCGTCCCGTTCTGTGGCGTGGCCCTTAAGCTCATCCAATCTGCTGTCAATCTAGCCGAGCAGGCTTTCAAAAACAAAGAAGAAGTGGACGCTCTGGCGAAAAAGGTTGAATCCTTGAAACCATTGCTCGGCCTTCAAAAGAAAAACATCTCTACCTTTGTGGGGGCCCTTGAGACGGCTCTCAAGATAGAAAAGAAGAAGATCAGCAAGGATGACGATGCTGTTCTCTGCCTCAATCACACGATCGATGCCCTGACCGACCTACTCGAAGTACTTGTCAAGATCGACGTGTTGATTGATTTTGTGTCTGTGTCAAGAGAAGACAAGTTGAAAGAGCGAGCTCTCAGATTCTTCGGTGCCAACACCGTGGCCAATGCTATTGAAAAGGCCCGCCGCGAGTTGCTTGGAGCTACCGCCTTTCTGGCCATACAGATGGCCAACCTTTCCGCAGTCGAGGACGCACTTGCGAGCCAGGGTGTCAACGTGAACCAAGCTCGAAAAGATGCCTTTAACATGCATCCGAAGCCCGTCCAGCGTCAGTCCTCTGCACCCGCCGTCCTCGACGTCCTGCGCTCGACGATTGACCCGGCCGAGGACCACCGACACCACCTCGCCTTTTTTTGCGACGGCACGCGGCAGTGGGCCATTGACCTCGTCAACGAGTGGCTTGCCCTGCCCCCGAGCCACGAGCAGCACCGCGCCTACTGGATCAACGGTGGCGGCGGTTTGGGCAAGTCGGTCCTGGCTGCCAAGCTACTTGACATGTGGCAAAAGAGCGACGAATATACCACAGCCGCCTTTTTCTGCCGCCACAACGACGCGCGTCACAACGGCGTGGCCGGCGCCTTGGAGGCGCTCGCCTTGCAGCTGGCCGACCAGATTCCCGCATTTAAAAAAGCCTTAGAGAGAGACCTCGAGGAGTGCGATGACGTGCGGCGCTTGTTGGGTGCGCCCGAACGTGACATCAAAGAAAAGTTTGATATTCTGCTCGCCACGCCATTGGACAAGGTGACCACCCCCATCATTCTGGTGATTGACGCCCTGGACGAGCTGCGCCCAGGCACCAACCGCACACTCTTTCTCAACATGGTCGGCAAACTCTTTTCATCCCTGAAGTCCAACGTGCGCATCGTCGTCACCTCGCGACTAGAGGACGAGATTGTCGAGCCCATGACACGTCTCAAAGCATTGGGCCTGGTCAAGTACACTGCCAACGCGTCCGAGGCCGTTTCCGAACAAGAGGCCGATGCCTTGCGTGCTAGCGAGCACCAGCGGAAAGATGTGTGTTGCTACTTGGACGCCAAGCTGGCGCCCCTCCTGAGCATTGAAACTTGCTTGAATGGGTCGGAGCAAGAAGAGCTGTTGCAATTGGTGCTCAACAACTCACAGAGCGTGTTTGTGGCAGCACGGTTGGCGGTCGAGCGGATCAAGGAGGCGATTCACCAATCAAGCCCAGCGTGCTCGCTCACCAAAGACAACTTTGCCACCCTGGCCACTGTCAGCTTCGACGATACCTACAAGGCCACGCTTGAGCGCATCAAGTCTCGCATCAACTCCGCCGAGGGGGTCGACGAAGAACAGCAAAGTGCCCTGCTGGCAGCACTCAAGCGGTTGCTGGCGGTGCTCTGCTGCGCCGCTGCTCCGCTTACTCCTGAGCAACTGCTCGTGTTTGGGAGCGAGTATCCGGGGCAATTGAAAGGCAGCTTGGCGCAGCTCTTGCTTAATGCGCTCTCGCTCATGTTCGCCCAATCAGCGGGTACTGGACGCGTCGAGCCGATCCACAAGACGGTCACCGACTTTCTGTGTGACCCAGCCAAGGCGGGTGAATTTGCTGTGGACCAGGCCCAGGGCTACGCACTCCTAGCGTTGGCCAGCGCACGCGTACTTGAGGACCAATTGGAGGATGGGTGGCAGGAAGCAGACCCCGACCTGGAACATGCGCTGTTATATGGTCACGTCTATCTGGGGCAGGCGGCGGCGGCGGTGGCTGAACCAAGTGAGCCGGTTATAACATATGCGGCATGGACCCTGCTGAAAAACTCCATCGACACCTGGAGCAGCCTCTTGATTGAAGAGCGCAAAGAGATCAAGACATGGAGTGAAGGTGGTACTGTGAAGATGTGCACGAGCAACCATTCAGCGACTCAGCTCTTTGGACTCTGGACGCTCGGTCAGGTCAAGCTCTTTCAGGCTCGGCGATATCAGCTGCGACCAGAGCTTGCTGAGGCTTGTTCTTATCTTGCCAAGCTGGCAGACGGCGCCGAGGCCGTGAAGGTCAGCAAGCTGTTTAAGGACTTTTACAGCCAATTTGCAGTTGAATGGACGCCACAGACTGGGGCTGAGGCGGACAAGATTGGATTTCAGCGCATCACAGCGCATGTTTCCGTGGATAGCATGCTATATGCCAGTGGCTGGACAAGATTGTGTGCTACACTGCTCGACACAGCTCGATGTGTTGCAAGGTTTCCAGAGCAGGCAGGCGCAAGCTCCGAGGTCATGCGAGTGCTCCATGACGACTTTGTGACGAGCGTAGGGTTTTTACCGGACGGGCGTTACGTGGTGAGCGGGTCGATGGGACAAGACAGTGCGTGTGTGGGATGTGTCGACAGGCGCCTGCCTCCACACCCTCGAGGGCCACGACGCTCGTGTGACGAGCGTGGGGTATTCACCGGACGGGCGTTTCGTGGTGAGCGGGTCGTGGGACAAGACGCTGCGTGTGTGGGATGCGTTGACGGGCGCCTGCCTCCACACCCTCTATGGCCACGACGACATTGTGATGAGCGTGGGGTATTCACCGGACGGGCGTTACGTGGTGAGCGGGTCGGGGACAAGACGGTGCGTGTGTGGGATGTGTCGACAGGCGCCTGCCTCCACACCCTCTAGGGCCACGACGACTTTGTGATGAGCGTGGGGTATTCACCGGACGGGCGTTACGTGGTGAGCGGGTTGTGGGACAAGACGCTGCGTGTGTGGGATGCGTCGACGGGCGTCTGCCTCCACACCCTCTATGGCCACGACGACATTGTGATGAGCGTGGGGTATTCACCGGACGGGCGTTACGTGGTGAGCGGGTCGTGCGACAAGACGCTGCGTGTGTGGGATGTGTCGACGGGCGCCTGCCTCCACACCCTCCATGGCCATGTTGGCCCTGTGATGAGCGTGGGGTATTCACCGGACGGGCGTTACGTGGTGAGCGGGTCGGAGGACACGACGGTGCGTGTGTGGGAGGTCTGAATACACACCCTCTCCTATCTCAATTGAAGCCACCCTGCCTTTGGCAACGTTTTGGAGGCACGCGTTGCAGCATCATAAATTTCCTTGATCTTGTCCTCGCGCCGGTTTGAGGCGGTATTGCGCGCACTTAGCACTCCACAATCAACTATGGTGACCAGCATCAAACGTTCATTGAACTCGACTCTACTACAATCACAGAGTCAAACGAACCTTCTTGAGTTCTTCATCCTCGTGCACCCGTTTCATAGCCATTGGTCGTATTGGACCGTGGGCAAAAACTGTTAGCGTCAAATCCGTGCCTTGAGCACTCCCACTGCTTTCGCACACTCAGTTTCGGTCGTCAGAGCGTCTGGAGGCCAGTTTTGGGTTGCGAGGAAGCGCGTAGGTTTGAGGAAGCCCGTCGGGACGGAGCGAAAGCTTTGATGGTGTCTTGAGGTCAATCGAACCAGCTGCGGTCGGCAAGCATTTACAGTGACGCACCGTAGAATAGCTGTAGAGTCGCTTAATTTTGAGGATGGGGAAAGTTCAAGAGGGCAGAGCACACAGAATAGAAAAGGGACGACAGAATGAGCCTGGGGCAGATACCCCCGGGGGGGGGGAAACAAAGTGTAAATTCATCAAAATTCAGGAGAAAACCATCACAAATTCATTCAGCAAAAAGTGGTTTTGACATGACATTGTTTTCAGAGATTCGATCATAAGTTCGGATTGCTTTGAGGAAGCTGAGAGGTGGCGACTGCGTCAGATGTGGCAGATGCGGCAGATGTGGCAGATGTGGCAGCAGCAGCAGCAGCAGCGGCAGCAGCAGGCTTACCCCTTGGCTGCTGCTTGACGGGGCACCACTTCCGTTGGTGGCCGATGGCAGGGCGAAAACAAACCGAGCAAAGATTGTATTTTCGTTTTCCATGCTGTAGGAGGCACACCATGACCAGCAGCAAGTGAGCACACACAGAAAAGCCAATCTCTTGCCACACGGGTTCAGCAAACAGTGACGCATCGCACATACGTGTTGCAAGCCTGGTCTCCTGCCCTCACTGTTCACAGGCGGTTGCGATGGCACTTGCTGTGCCTGCGGTGACTGCTGAGCCTGCGGTGACTGCTGAGCCTGCGGTGACTGCTGAGCCTGCGGTGACTGCTGAGCCTGCGGTGGCTGCTGAGTCTGCGGTGGCTGCTGAGCCTGCAGTGGCTGCTGAGTCTGCGGTGGCTGCTGAGCCTGCTGTGCCGACTGCGCCAGTTGCACAGTGTACTGGAGTTGAGCAGCCCAGGTCATGTATTGTGCCAGGAGGTGTGCATTGTACTGGCCAGCTTGCTGGGCAATAAGTTGGGCCAAGTGCTGCGCAGCTGCAAGTTCAGCTCCAGGTGATGCGCCGACCCCGGCGCCTGATGTCAAGCCACCTGATGCGGAGGTGCTCGACGGGCCACAAGCCGTTTCAGCGCTCTTGGCAGCTGGAACCAAAGAGGCTGTCGTTGACGGTGCCGAGACCACTGGTGTTGCTGATACTGCTGTCCCCGTGGTGCCATCCACACCCGAGACAACCTGAGCGATGGTTGTCTTTTGAATGTGCAGCTGTCGATTGGCACGACATGCCTCCGCGTGCGAGACCGGCGAACGTGGCACGGGCATGGGTTGCTGCGGCGACTCGCCATTGCGTCGCAATCTTGCATCAGCAATCCTGGAACAAGTGTCCTGGAATTGCTGCATTGCCACCTCATACTCCTGTTGATCTATGCCCAAATTTACGTCCTTGACTTGATCTATTGCAAAGTAATGTGCACCGAGCGGGAGAAAAACATGGTTCATACGATGCGTGAGCCACCGCACAGACCGGCGAGGATGACGTTTTTTTAAGCGGCGCAAATACAAAATGTGAAGCTTGTCTGTAAATCCCGAGGTTGTGCAGCGCTTCAATTCACCTGCGTACAACCAGGATTACAAAGGGCAGGGCAGTACGCGCGTTGAGATGATGAGGGGCCACGAGAAATTACAGACCTGTTGTAGCTCCAAGAGTTGGCTGCATAGGGTGGAAAAGCTCCAGGGGCACGGGCATGGTGACATCCCAGGGTGGGAGACGTGCTGGGTCCGGTTGATCCTTGAATAACCTGCGATAAATTTCGTTGCGTCGTGCGCTGAGAGCAACGTAGTGATGGCCCTCATTCGTGTACAGGCCTGCTTCGATGCCAGCATCATAGGCGATGCGAAAAAGGACAGCGACGAGTGCCCCGGCTGCACTTGGATCACGTGTGCCAATGGGAATGGCTGCGGCCAGGCGTTGATGAAGACTTTCGTTGCCACTTGAGCCTCGCGCGCACCTGAAGCGAGGGCGCTTGGAAGCCGTCTCAGGCAGCTTCCGGTACAACTTTTCCAACAGTACATCTGGGTCAGATAGGCAACCCGTCTTGACGTGAGCATCAATAATATCCTCGACGCACTTGTTCAAGCCACCACTTTCACTCCACGGCTCAACCAAGCTCTGATTCTTGTCTTCAGGACAGGCATTAACCCATTCTGCCCAGCCCAGTAAGCGGTTCGACAGATCGAATAATAAATTAGGTGTTTGAACCTCAGAGCTGAAAGCAAAGCTGTGCAACCCCGACATCAAAATCACGACGGCACGCAAAACAACACAAGAGAACAAGACATTTTCATCGGCTTCTATCATGCCGAGGAGTACAAGCGCGAAGAATTACGCACATAGAAACAAAAATCGTACAAAACGACCAGGTATAACCAGAGATACGGCCATTTAAAACACAAGACACCCAAAAAGGGAGTCACACATATCACAACTACAAGCCATCACAGCACGAACATAAAAAACACCACGGCACGCTCACATCCAACGAGACACAACGTCGGAGG